TCATATTCAAATTTGGAAAGCCGGGTGAAATTCAGTCTCCATACATTCATTTATACATGAAAAATATTGTGTATAGAATGTCTACACCCAACCCGAGGCTTTTTAAACGGAAAATTACTGTCGTAAGGCTCGGCCAATTTACGGAATTTATTGTTATTTTGGGCCACCCACCCCGACGATCCAGTTATTAAATTAATCGGGATTTTCGGGCTTTTTATTATTTTTGGACCTTCCCCCCGACCGATATTGTGTTATTCCAACGCGAGTCCGGACCTACCGCCATTTTAGTCCTGTCGTTGGAAATTTTCGTACGACCCGAAAAATTAAAATTTACGTCCGTTTTCTCGGATGAATTATGTATTCATTCTTTGTTAGAGTTTACGCATAAGTACCAGTGAATATTTCATTTTAATTTCCATATATTTCCACTTATTATTTCTTAACGTCTTCTTGGAAGACCTCCTGCTTAATATACCTAATTGATAATATTTCATCAAGTATATGATATTCCTTCTAATAAACCACATAGTAAGACCTCGGGAAATAATTAATTAGTTCGTATATAAAAAAATCTAATAGAGCAAAGTTTTCATCGTATCAAAAATAATTTGATGCAAATTCCTGCACATTGAGTTTATTCGACGACGGGACTATATAACGTAACAAAACACGATCCTAATAATGGAAGATACAATATACTCTGTCTTGCACCATGTGGTCGTAATACCAACTAGTTGGAATAACATGACCACCCTTGTAAAATTTTATGAAGGGTTGAAAGATGAATCGTGAGTTTCGAGCTAATGGGCTTATTCGGGAAAGAACCGGGGCATAACCGGGAAGTTTTTGTTTTGATATTTTGAATGACTCTTTTAAGGTCGAAACTTTTGCGAAATAGCTATTTTAATGTTTATCTTCCGTCGTCTTGAAATTTCATTATCTGAAAACAAAACTATTTCATTTATTTTCCTAACAGTTATTGCGCTATTGATAGAACGAAAGAAAACGTTGAAAGAGTTTTCAATTGAATTCTGTTAATAATAGAAAATGAATTGCGATAATTTTTATAGAATCAGAAAAATATTGACACTGTTCGCTAACGTAGAAGATTTTCTTCTATCGCAACACACCCTTCTAATTTACCACCGACTCTACGAGGTTTAATGTCTCGAAGTATTCTCTTTATATGGATTTGATTGAGTTTTATTTTTCACGCTTTTCCGAAAGGTAAAATCCATCACTGACGGCCGCTACTGTTCATGAAATTTGCGTTTTCCCGCGAAATTAATTGCCCATCGATCATTAAAGGTGTCTTAAATTTATGTTTTTCGATAAAAAAAGGACTTGTTTTCTTCTTTTCCGCATGCAAACGATTTTCTGGAGATAAAACTTCTGAAGGGCGTTTGGGGGTGTTTTGAGGGCATAAATTTTACTTTTTTTAGATATATACAGGACATTATTTATAAAAATCAATGTAGAAATGTAATTTCCTCACGTTCTACTTTTTATTCAGGTACCTATATTGGTATTTTCTGGTTTTATTGGAACATTTTCTAGCCTAACTCAATTATGAACCTATTTAAACTCGATTCATTTCCTTTGCCATTCACGTTCACCCTATTTACGATCTATTTAAATAAATTACCCGGCAATCATGCATCTCCATATTGACTTCGTTCCTTCCGACCGAGGACATTTAATGGTTTATTTCAATCAATAAAAGAAATCAAAATGAGTTATTGTAGTCAAACGAATCTGTAGGTAAGCACTTTATTTTCTTATAGCATGTTAAGTTTTACATAATCAATATTTGAGTATATGTTCGCGTGCACCTCCTACCAGCTGCTAGTAAATTGGATTTAATTTCTTGTAATTACATATTTTACATATCAACATCGAACGGTACTTTATAGAACAAAACGTAAGATACGGATCGTTGTTTTAATATCGGTTTTTCAAAAAATACACATCGAAAGCGCTAATGATGCATAATTTAGCGTTCGAAACACGGTTCATTTTAATATAGAAAGGTGTTTAAATTATCATTTTTGAACTCGTTTTAGGAAGAATTAAATTACTGTTATTAATCTACAATTGAAAATCCGTACAGGTAACTTAATTTTTTATTAAAATATCTTTTTTCCTTTTTATTATTTAAAGTTTCCAACATTTTTCCTCAAGTCCGTAATAATTATGTTCCTAATAATTTTTCATACTAAACTCCAAGTTCTGGTTGCGATTCATTCGTAAAGTTTTTAGTGTATAACGTAATTACTTTTTGTCGGATTTTATCTCCCTGCGGAACCGACTATGACGTTAACGCGGCGAAGTTTCATAATTCGAAGACGAATTTTATTCCATACGGGCGAGTGGTGTAGTTAGAAAAACGCCGGGGCGCACATTTGGCTTTATTAACGTATAAAATCGGTGCCAAATGCGAACTTTTCAAAATTTAAGAGGGTCGTGTGATTGATTTAAATAGACGAAGATTTGGCAACGGTGCCGTCTTTAAAGGGAAACTGCTGACGTAAAATGCAGAAAATAGAGCCACAGATATGTAAGTCTCGGCATAAAGATCTTCGAGGGCTTTTTACGTTTTATCAAGGAATAAAAGTCTGGATATTTGAATCGAAATCGGCTGGTGGGTTCATTTGTTGGGATTATGCCTAATATTTTTCCTTCCCACCCCCCTACTTGATATTTCGAGTGGTGTTGTGGGAGTTTTAATCCCCTAATAGAGTTTCTCGGCTAATATATCGAAATAACTATTTTGTATTGCCTTGGTTTATTGTTATGAATATCTAAGTAGGTATATCGAACACGATTTTCTTTATAGAAAATGCATGGGATTTACCGACGTTATACTCTTTTTGAAGGTTTCTTTGTTTGCAAAGCAAACTATTGACAAAACGGCTGCAGGGATTGCGGAAAACAATATTAGCTTAATATTCCGAATTTCCGTTCGCTATATTGAATGCGTATATCAGATGTAAGAATACCGAATGCTGTGATTAAATTTTCGATTGCTGTTGTTAGTTAGGAAGTTCTGCATTCGGGAAGAAATTACCATAATTCAGTAATTTAGAGGAAAACCATTTAAACCGGATAACCGTTTATGCGCTTAAATTTCTATACGAGATCCGAACGCCGAAAATCGAACGTAGTCTTTGTACCATAAATTTTCCATCACTCGAAAAAAACGAAACTCGAAAATTGCGAATTCGAATTTTTTTCCGTTCCGTTTCGATCTTACGTTGGTATATACATATTTTACAACTTAAATAAAAATATAATCTTCCGCATCGATGACACCCCGAGAAACATTACAGCAACTTTTCTCGGGTTTATTTCGCCCGGATTGAAACCTGAACGCCATTCTACGACTGTCCCTCGAAGGGCGATTTTTCAAATATTTTCATATAAGCCGCTCCGAGATAACTTTCACCGCTTACATATTTCACGAACGGTGTCACAACTCCCCAACTTATTTATGTTCTTCCAGCTTTCTTCATATACCTACATAGAAATTCTAAATATTCGTGTGTGTAGTTGCTTATGAATCGAACTTAATTCATACGGTGGCTCGTTTTTAGACATCAAAACCCTACCAAAGTGAAAAATGATTTTATCCTGATTTGGAAATTTGTTGCCTAAGGGTCACTGGTCTTGGGAGTTAATATGGGTAGAACAGCAAAAAAATGAGATCGATAGATCGTTCTTGACACGTGCGTGTGCGGATTGTTTTATAGCTTTCGCATATTTTATCAATATTTCAAATGTATTTTTTTGACAAAAAGGTCTCGGTCCCCATAAATTTATACCGTACGTTCGCATTCGAACGCTCTTGTAGGTACATTCAGAAAAAGGAAAATAACAATATGATGTGAATTAAACAGCAATAGAGAGATTTGCGCGACGGTGAAAATTGCTGAGAGCATGTAATAATTTTTTTATCTTTCCCATTTTTTACGATACCCTTACCAATAGGTAGGAATGAAATGGCGGAATTTATAATGGCGGAATTTATAACCCTGTAGATTACTGGTGAAAAAAAAATCGGTTAATCCGATTAAAACGTATCCACGGAGTAACAACATGGCCGGCTATACGTTGGATGTGGTGCACAAAGAATGATGAAGAGAGCACGCTTCCCTTGCTGTCAGGTGAATTAGATGGGTAAATTATGAGGAGCTCAGCTTTGCCTAGACATTGAATGATCACCGACGATCTGATGAAATTATTTAACAACTGACACTTTATTTCGTTACAACTACCCCGTTTTGTCGGACGGCTCCTTGGATATTTTCTTCAATTTCCTTTTGAAATGAACGCGGAAAATTTCTGAGCAAACAAACAGCACTCGCAGTAATGCTTTTGTTTCGAACGTTTTAGTGCAGTTTGCTTTCGGAAAATCAATTTAAATGTTAATGAAACGAGGATTTGTTGATTTATGTTTATTGCAAAAATATTTACTTGTCGCGATTTCGAATAACCAATTCGGAATTTAACGCGACAATTTTAACTAATAAAAGCTAGTTTGAGAATAAAATTTAAAAGTCGATAAATATTGAAATTATTTGTTCACCCAGTATATTTTTCTGAATATTTATTTTTAAAGAACAATTAAACCGCAAAATATGTAGACTTCCCAAAAGCCACTGACACATCTATGTTCAACATTTACCAGCGCACTGTTTATTGATCTACTTATATCTGTATGCACTATGCGCCTTGTTGGAATGCTTGGGGATATGTAAGGAAAAAAAAACGAAATACGAAAGCATGCCAGACACACATCTAACAGATGTTTCGCTTCATGTAAATTACATTAAAGTATAAAATTTATAGCGTACATATTTGCAAAAGAAATGGCGAAAGTTGTAAATGATATTGCACCAACACGGTTGAAGGGTGTATCATTTTGAATTTTCTTATCAAGTCGATTCAAATGTTGTATAGCATTTTTCTATGAAGGTATAATAGTGAACAGGTTCGCTACATTAAAATATGATTCAATGTGTTAATCAATTTAATACACAAGTATAGAATTCGAAATGAAATTATACAGTAAACTTGGCCAGGTTGTAATTTACTTATCGAATGAGAATTTTAATAAATTTCCCCGACCGCTTGTACCGTTAATTGGGTGATCTAAAAAATACAAAATACTAATGCATTTGATAAAAAAAATGTTAAGTAACTTACCAGAACATGTTTTGGGGTAGATAAAGCATACAAAACAGTTTCGGCTACATCTTCTGCATTTAAAAATGACATGGTTTTCATCTTATCTAACGCAGCCTTATCGAATTTTTCTGACAATTGTTCAAATATTTCGGTTACTACGCCACCAGGATGAATACCCTACAAAAATTTAAAAAATAATTATATCTGTAACTTGTAAAAGTCTATAAATTTAATTTGTACTTACTGTCATTCGAATTTTCGATCCAGATTTGGCAAGTTCTAAACGTAACGTTTCTGTTATAGCAGTTAAGGCGTATTTACTTCCTTGATAAATAGTCATTTGTTCAAAAGAACCAATTTTTAGGCCTGCAATACTATTAATGTTTATTATGTGACCGTCGATATTGTTTTTCTTCATCTCTTGGATAGCTTCTCTGGTAGCAATACCAACAGCTAATACATTAACATTTAAAGTATCCACCCAGTCTTTCGTTTCGAATGTCGAGGCTTGCGATAAACGAACGATACCGGCGTTATTAATTAATATGCTGACTGGCCCAACGTTTTCTTTCGTCCATTTGAATGCTCCTTTTATGTCATCTTCTTTAGAAACATCCCCGACGTACGGGAAGAACTTTCCTTTCTTAGATGCGAGACTTTTCTGTAGATCATCTAATTTTTCTTTTCTTCTAGCAATACCGACCACCTAAATTATCGATACATTTTTCGAATTAAATAATTAGACAATAATTAGACTGTATTGTTTTACCTTTACTCCTGCTTCCACTAATTTTTCAGCAATTGATCTGCCTATTCCTGCACTGGCTCCTGTTACAATAGCTACACTGCCAACCCACCTATCCATGTTGTTCGAATAAAATCTTTAAATGATATGCGCTTGTATCTACAGTTGGTATTTATTTAAGTGGCAGACATTCCTCCTATATCTCTGGTGTGCCTAATCGTTGAGTATTGTTCTGTAAATAATAGTACAGGCAATTTATGGTAGATAGTTTTATTGTTAGATAAAAATAACATTTGAATGTCGACCGTAATGAATTATACTTCAGATAATTTATAGTGTTTAAGTTTTATTTAAGTAGGTAGGTAAATACTAAAATAATTTCTTTATCTAATCAAATTATTTTATTGCAGAGTTTTTTATTTAAAGGTAACTACAACATTGAATGACAGACTTTTATAAAATTTATTTAAAATAAAACTGAGTTAGTTGGTGCCAGTTTTAATATATTTCCCCAACAGATTGTACCGTTAATGTGGTGATCTAAAAAAATATATTAATAATTGAGGTATATTTAAAATACAAAAATATTAATTTCTTACCAGGACATGTTTAGGCGTCGACAAAGCATACAAAACAGTGTCAGCCACATCTTCTGGGTTTAAAAATGGCATATTTTTTATTCTTTCTAATGTACCTTCATCACTTCTTTTCATTAAGTTTTGAATCATTTCAGTATTTACTCCACCAGGATGAATTCCCTACAAAAAATAATTGGTTAAAAACCAATTTCGTAAATGTAGTTTTTTCACAATTTTCACAATACAAAACAAAAAGTTTACTTACTGTCACTCGAATTTTCGATCCAGATTTGGCCAGTTCCAAACGTAACGTTTCTGTTATAGCAGTTAGTGCGTATTTACTTCCTTGATAAATAGACATTTTGTCAGCAGCAATTATTTTCTGTCCTGCAAGGCTATTAATGTTTATTATATGACCATCGATATTATTCTTCTTCATCTGTTCGATAGCTTCTCGTGCAGCAATACTAGCAGCTAATACGTTCACATTTAAAACTTCCGCCCAATCTTTGGTTTCAAAATTCGATCCATTTGTACGGGCGATGCCAGCATTATTTATTAATATGCTGACTGGTCCGACATTTTCGTTCGTCCATTTGAAAGCTTCTATTATGTCATTTTCTTTGGAAACATCTCCAACGTATGGGTAGAACTTTCCCTTCTTAGATGCGAAGCTTTGCTGAAGGTCATCTAATTTATCTTTTCTTCTAGCAATTCCAACCACCTAAATAATCAGTATACTTTTCGAATTAAATAATTAAACAGCGGGTTTGATTAGATAGATGATGAAATAATGTAACCTATCCGGTATTGTTGTACCTTTACTCCTGCTTCTACTAATTTTTCAGCAATTGATCTGCCAATTCCTGCACTGGTTCCTGTTACAATAGCTACACTGCCAACCCACCTATCCATGTTGTTGGAATCAAATCTTTAAATGATATGTGCAGGTATCTTCAATTGGTATCTATTTTAATACCATACTTTATATCTCTGGAGTATCTAATCTTTGAGTATTATTCTGCAGTTAGTAGTTCATGCAATTTATGGTAGATTAGTTTCATAAAAAAATAATATATGTATTGAATGTCGACCGTAATGAATTATACTTAAGATAATTGTGTTTAAGCTTTATTTAAGTAGGTAGGTAAATACTAAAATAATTTATTTATCTAATCTAATCATTTTATTGCGGGGTTTTTTATTTAAAGGTTTACATTGATTCAGGTTAACATTAAAGGTTTAAATTACAACCTTGAATGGCAGATTTTCGTATACAACTGAGTTAGTTGCTGCCAGTTTTAATATATTTCCCCGACTGATTGTACCGTTAATGTGGTGATCTAAAAATTATATTAATAATTAAGACGCATTTATCACATAGAAAAATATTGATTTCTTACCAGAACATGTTTTGGCGTGGACAACGCATATAAAACAGTGTCAGCCACATCTTCTGCCTTTAAAAATGGCATATTTTTCATTCTTTCTGATGTAGCTTTATCACTACTGTTTATAAGTTGTTGGAGCATCTCGGTATTTACTCCACCAGGATGAATTCCCTACAAAAAAAAATTGGTTAAAAACAATTTCGTAATTATGTAGTTTTTTCACAATACAAAATAAAATGTTCACTTACTGTCACTCTAATTTTCGATCCAGATTTGGCAAGTTCCAAACGCACTGTTTCTGTTATAGCGGTTAGTGCGTATTTACTTCCTTGATAAATGGTCATTTTCTCAGCAGAAACTATTTTCTGTCCGGCAATGCTGTTAATGTTTATTATATGACCATCGATATTATTCTTCTTCATCTGTTCGATAGCTTCTCTTGCAGCAATACTAGCAGCTAATACGTTCACATTTAAAACTTCCGCCCAATCTTTGGTTTCAAAATTCGATATACTTGATGTATGGGCGATGGCTGCATTATTAACTAATATGCTAACTGGCCCGACATTTTCCTTCGTCCATTTGAAAGCTCCTATTATGTCATTTTCCTTAGAAACATCTCCAACGTATGGGTAGAACTTTCCTTTCTTTGATGCAAGATTTTGGTTTATTTCATCTAGATTTTGTTTTCTTCTAGCAATTCCCACTACCTAATAACATCAAATTATTTTTTGGAAACTAACATATTTTATGGTTTAATGAATGAATTAGTGCTAACCTTAACTCCTGCTTCGACTAGTTTTTCAACAATTGATTTGCCAATTCCAGCACTAGCTCCTGTTACAAGAGCAACACTTCCTATCCACCTTTGCATGTTGATATTTTTTATCGAATCTCTGAATTATTTACGTGGAGGTACCTATGTATTTTATGTATCTATACAATTTATCTCTATCACTTAAGTGTATATAAGTAATAGTCCAGTAATTATAAGTCATTATTTGATCACAGTATAGTATTTATAATTTGCGTGACTATGTTATTGATACTTTTATTTTATTATACGAAATGATACTTTATTAAATAATGAATTAAACGTTTTAAGCTACTACAAAATTACGACCAAAATTCTGTTTGTTGTAAACAGAAAATCTAATGTTACCAGAATATAATTTCTTTGTAAGTGTTTATATCCTCGTTAAGTAGATTACATAACAAATAATGTGTCTACATTGTATAATGAATATTATACATTATCAATGCCATATTTATATTACCTATAATTTTTGGTGAGTTTCAAAATAGTATGAATTGGTATCTACTTTATTATATTATTTTATATTATTTCGTATTATATGGAGAAGATGATAAATATTTGTTGGCATACATTGCTTTATTGGAAAATTATTCATAATAAATTTAAAACAATGCTTGTATTGTTAGCTCATTAATCTAAAACAAACAAAAGCTATTAATAACAAAAAAATATCTATTAGAATGCATATTTACTTGTACTCGCTGGGGAACCGACAAAGCATACAAAATGGCCTGAACTACGTCATCCGATTCTAAAGTTGGTATATTCAAACCTTTGTGATTTGCATTATTGAATTTCTCTTTGCTAATGTAGTACATATCGGTTTTGACAGTTCCAGGATGAATCCCCTATTCGCAATATGTATAAAGCAACGTCAATAATACAACAAAATGAACACACTTACAGTGACTCTGACCTTCGAACGGTTCCTAATAAGTTCGAAACGTAAACTCTCTGTAATCGCTTTGAGTGCGTGTTTGCTGGCTTGATACACGTGCCCCCCGGGAAGGTTTTCGCTGACTCTGTGTCCTGCGACACTGTTGATATTGATAATGTGGCCGTCGATGTTGTTCTCTTTCATTTGCTTGAGCGCCTCTCTGGTCGCGATGGCTGTAGCCAGCACGTTAATGTTTAATGCGGATGCCCAATCCTTTGTAGAAAATTCTGTCGCCGAGGTTATTGGAGCCACACCGGCGTTATTAATCAGCAGGCTTACAGGACCAACGTGTTGTTTCGTCCATTTGAAAGCCGACAGCAGGTCTTCCTCTTTGGAAACATCTCCAACGTATGGATAGAATTTTCCTTTTTTCGACGACAAATTCGTCGCGATTTCATCCAATTTTTCTTTGCGTCTGGCCAGGCCTACGACCTGTTCGCGAAGTTTGTTTATTGAAAAGGCATTGATGAAATATAATTAGAGTTTATGTGTGGAAAGTTTCTCTACCTTAATATCCGCCTCGACTAGTTTTTCAACGATCGATTTCCCTATTCCGGCACTTGCTCCAGTCACAAAAGCCACGCTACGCGCCCAGCGTTCCATTTTAATTATGGTTAATCACTTTTAGTTCTTAATATAAATTTTAGCCGGCCCATTATCTATGCAAATGAAAATAATATACATAGGCGATATGCTGTAATAATTTAAATAATAATCGGTTATTTATAATTCCGTTGTATTTCTCGGTCAAGAACGAATTTTATTAACATTAGGTATAAAGTTCAACCTTAAAGTTAATTTAGTTGGATATTAAAAATGGATTTGATAAAAGGTATGCTTGAATTAGGCATTTCGTAATCTCGCAATTATTTTATCATTATTCAAATAGGTGTGTAGGTACAATGTTATATCATTATTTTCATATATTTTATCATAGAAATGAAATTAATATCTACACTTAAATTACTAAAGTTCGTTTATAGGGAAGCAAAAGCACGCCGTTATCATTTTAAAATGCAGTGACCTTAATTTCATGGTTTTTGCTCGAACTGATGCGACTGTCTTTCTAATAAAACTTCTAAATGCGACTGCCGTAATGGCAATTTAGAACTTTTTAAAATACACTCTCACGCTATATAAAGGCGGAATGTTTCATCTTTATGAAAATGAGATTAAAATTGCAATGGCGACGACGATGATAAGGAAATTTTATGAAAATTGACTTATTTATTCGGGAACCGGTCGCGTTTTCACGAACGAATACCCCACTTCTACATAAGTGTTATCTATTTTTCAGATTCCCTTTATTTCGCTTAGCCTATAAGGAGGTTTATTAGATTTTTTTAATGGAAAATATCTTCATCGAATCGTGAAATCTAAGAATCACAAAGATATAAAAAGTAGTTACGTAATTACGTCGAGTTATTCCTTCGCTGTACTCAGCAAGAATAATATCTGAGAAATCGCGGAAATTACCATCAATCCCCATCCTCCTTTCGAGTGTATCACTGACAATGGAAGATCCACAGTTCAGTCCTGATAATCAATGACCAGCGGATCGAGATCGGACGGTCACGTAATCAGAAAGGCCTCACGTCATTCGGAAAAAGCACGTACTTTGATTCCGGGGGCGAAGCCGAGCCAATCCGGCGGGGCTCCATGGCCGTGCGCGCCATCTGGGGGTCTTTTAATTTCGCATTAACGGCCAAAGTTGCCCGGAAGACAAACAGCTTAAACGTTCATGCTATATTGGCCGATTTTTTCCTTTCTACATATCGCGAATAGATGTGCCTCGATTCTCGATGACACATTTTCTCGCACCTTCATCGCGAAAATTGAAGGAAACCGGCGTTTAATAAATAATTCTGAGCGTTTAAAAAACAACGCTAAATAGCAACCCTATTTGAATAAGCGAATATTTTCATCTCGAGAGCAAACTTCCTGAGAAGCATTTATCATTCGAAAGTTTAATTTAGTTAGCTGGGAAAAGTTTCATATACACTCGGCGAAAACGTTTTGTGTGCCCTTTCGGTGAGATCACTTTTAATTATGGCGGTGTTCTATGTGAGCATGTATATTTTATCATAATTTATATGTTGTGTTTCATTAAAAGTTCCAGGTCGTTTTTGTGGAATTTACTGCAATTTTTCATCTTCGCCGGTTGCATTTTAAGCCGCAAAGTCAATACGTTGACTGAAAAAAGTTCCTCGTAAACTAATGCTTTATGGAAATTTTCAGACCTCACTTTTTACGATCGGAACGATACCAATAAAACATTTCATTGTTTTTTATTTAAATTAATCTCTTTCAATAAACATTCACTTCACTTCCATTAACAATTCTACTCATTTATGGAGCTCTATAAATAAATTCGGAACGGTGTTCATTTGATAATCTGTACAGTTGGTTTTTATTTTACTCGTAAATTTCGATTATTGACAACCCCGCAATTTCATGCATTCGAAAAATTTACTATGTTCACCGGAATAAAGTATATAATTTAATGCCATAAATAAGTTTAATGGGCCATTCGATTTACCTATATCTTTTTTTTTCTTTTTCAGGTAGGTATTCAATGTTTATTTCGGGTTTTCCTGGGTGGTGAGTAGTAAATTTAATTTTTTAATCCAACTCCACTCGAGATGTAAAATTTTGTGAAATTCGAAGACGCTTCGATGAAAGCGTTTAATAGTAATTTAAAAGTGAAATTTACCTTAATCTATTTTGAATGAATGGAATTACAACGAATTCCCTGTCACCAAATCAAGGAATAAAATGACGCCGTTAAATCTGACACAGGCTATGTTTTTTAAACGGAACTTCCGCTCAGCCTGCACAGTGTATATCGTACGAATCTATTTCGACCATTTTTTTTTTCTAAACAACTGGATTACTAAAATTCTTCGTTGAATTCCAAAGTGTTAAACTTGCAAAAATAGTTTTTTATTTACTCAACATTTTCTATGGAATCTCCTGTTCATTCACTCTTCTGTTTCGAAATACTAAAATTTTCTTTCCTGCCTAAACACCTATACATTTTGGCCAGATAGATTTATACGTTGAAACTCTTGAAATAACTTTGGGCATCAGCTTACGACAAAATTAACTGCACCTTTAAAGTGAGAGTGGTTGGTAGAGTGAGTGAATAATTTCCGCATTAACTATAAGAGAACAGTATCCTCAGAAAAAGGAATGTTAAGTCGGGCATTAGAATTCAGAGGACCTACAAGGATCGTAAAAGAGAAAATTTAGATGGTTTTACGACCTACTGGGAGTTACAATACTAATTTTGACTGCTAATGTTAGCACATATTCCGATAATAGCAACAAGTAATTATTCGTATTCTGTATAATTATCACGTTATCGCATAACTTACCTACACATTCTGTGCTGTTATCTTAATTTTAGTAAAAAAATATAAAATACGTAAATTAAAAAAAACATTGATTTGGGTAAATATATTTTAACTATGCGAAAGTCGTTACGCTTACTTTAAGGATGATTGCACTTGCACATTATTTACTGGAGATATTCCTCCCATTCATTCGTTCATTATAGTCAGACTGTTTGTTCGTTTATTATATTACCACTTCAAGAAGTACTTTTCAGAATTCCAAGCAAATTGCAATTCCTTAACGAGAATAGATTGCGAAAGTTTTCTTTCGCATAAGCAAATAAAATACTCGGCTAATTGAACTATTCAAATCAGTAGATGATCTTGATTCGAGCGTGATTTGTTGGCGGATTTCGAGTTATTTATCTTCTTAGATGTTACGAAAGCTTTTTCCTATTAAAAAAAAGGGAATTTAAATGTAGGAAAGCAAACTTTAATCGCGAATTGTTAGTTATGGAAGAAATTAGGAAACTCCTAATTAACTTTAATACACACACATCAATTATTAATTTCCTCGGAACGTTTGGGGAAAAATTCGTTGTTGACGTATTTCGGACATCTTCTTCGAATTGATTTAATTAGCAATTTCATTTCCACGGAGCACGTTCCATTGAATTCCGACTCCACTCTTTCGAAAAGCGACCCCATTCCATCGAACGCGGCGCGCCCAAACTCCTGCACCCTTTTCAATTCGCCGCGATTCTCCTCAAATTGAATATGAAGAAAATCCATCGACGAGAAATAGTGACCTCCAAAGTGATAATTAACGACATGACTTGAAAACTCGATGAAGTTTTTTTTGTTCGCAGCGCCCGACAGGGACGTCACTGCGCGAATTTACCCCGAGAAAAATCATTTTCGGCAACCGTGCGTTATTTTTTATGTAATTACTCGGCGCCGGTTGAAAGAGGGATTTTAGAGACAAAAAATCCGCGATGAAATTATCGCCTTGGCTTTTCGACGGAAATGTTTAGTAAAATTTTAATTTAGAAAAACAAGCAAAAAGCATGACTGACGTGGCCCTTTAATTATATAGTTTTCGCGATGAAAAATGACTCCGCCGGGCGGACAGGTCGTGTGTAAAACGCGATTTTCGAGTTAAAACTTCCCAGAAGGGAAAGGGAAAACTTGTGCCGGGTGAATTTTCCGGCAGCGCCGCTCCGATGACGCCGACGTCGAAGTTGGCCGCGATCCACCGGCGGCGGCCATCTTTTAATCCCGATCGGAGATTCTGCGACGAGAAAAAGTAAAGGTTGTCCGAAAGTTTATCGGAAAGAATGGGGCGTGCGGGCCATCACAACTACTGCTGATGAACCGATGGTTCGTCGTCGGCATCCCTAAACAGGCACAAGGGCGTCTGTGAAAAAAAAAGGGATAAAACCGTCGGCGGGATTAGTTTCGTGAACCTTTTTTGTCGAAACCTGAATTTTATACGGAATTACATTAATCTTAAGTATATTTCCGAAGTATCTTTCTTTTTAAATTCGACTTGGATTCGTGTATAAATTTAATATGATAAATAACACATGGTAAAAAACAGGTGACTAGGTATACATTATTGAGATTTTGTTGCAAATGTTGGCATAATTTTGATATTACGTTTGCTACTCCTATTTATCATTTACAAATTATAACAGAATGTAGTCCGAAGGATAATTTCATCCTACCCTCGTATTCTTTATTTTTACAACAATTTCTAAAACTCATCAAATTTAACCAAACACTGATATTTACATAAAACTCTTCTTTTCTGAAAGATACTTTATATAACATCATTTATAATCAACATTTTTTGGTTGGTTTTTAAAATTTACTCTAGCGACTTTAAGGCGAAAATTCCACTTTTTTCTCCTCTCGACTAATAAAACTCGTACACGTCAATGAGGATATGTCACCTGAGGCGGCTGCAGAACTTCTCTCATTTATTTTTTCCCTCGTAAGACGTGCGTGGTCGGGCGTGAGGCGGGCAGCAGGGGTCTTTGTAAGTTGCCGGAGATTACGGGAACTCATTTTGAGAATAATGGCCGTGAAATCACTAGATCAGCGCTGGTTAAAGGGAAAATACGTCACTTATCAAGGAGGCTCTTCCACTTTGTTAAGAAGAAAAAAAAAAACGTTTACGCTAAACCGCTGGCGGAATAAAATGCGATAATTCGTTTGGTTAAATTCGAATGAAATTAACGAATTTAACGTAACCGGTTCCTAAAA